AGAAAGTCAGTCACAGCCATGTAAAAAAAAAAAAAAAAGTCCCTTTCCTCATAGAAATGCTAGTTTGGGAAGCAGTTTGCTTTAAAGATCTCTAGAGCCAAAATGATCTCTGCATTTCTCGCTCTTTCCTATTATAGCAAGTTTAAGAGTATATAGGAAGGAGAGCTCTCCAAGTAAGTATCCTGTGGGTGCCCGTGCCAGGATTAGCAGTATGCTTTTGGACAGATACAGGAATCTTGTGTTTACAATGCCAGGCTATTAGGATAGGCAATCAAAAGATCCCACTTTCAAAATAAATCAGGCAATATGCCATGCAAAGTGATCTCTCAAACCAAATGCTCAGACATGGAATGACAAGCAACATTCAAGACTACAGAACTTGCATCTAAGCAAAGACATTTTTATATAGAGAAAAAATACGTACAAAACTCTATAAAGACATTCTTGGCGGGGTCGAAGGCAACCTCTTCAAAGTTTTTGCCCACCAAGACCTTGACAGGGTTCTTATCCCAGTCGTCAGGAATGTCCTGACTCATCAAATGAGGCTGAAAGACATTACAATCATTCAAAACACACACACACACACACACACACATCATTCCAAAAAGACAGAACACATTTTCTTCAAGTCATTTAAGTGCCAATTTTAAGTCACTACTAAATCGACCGTAAAGACTCATTTCCATCACAGACATTGTTTAAACCTAAACCTAAACAAAGTTCTCAGCCACCTTAAGCTTTCCCTCTGTGAAGTCTGTGCAGAAGGTAATGATGTTCTCTGCTGTGATTTCTGATGTTTCTGGTTTGTATTTGGTCATCTCTTCCTCTAGGGTAATGAGGCGGATTGTTGGGCACTCTTCCTTCTTAAGACCAAAGAACTCCAGAATTCGCTGATTATCATCCACATCACTGTCAATAAAGATGAAGAGAATCTGTGGAGAAAGAGTATTAGGTTAAACTCCAATGTATTCAGCAAAACATACACTGACACCGTTTAATAGAAAAATAAATAAAAAAAATACCCACTTTGCCTTTGAAGCCCTCAGCTGCCTTCTTAAATTGGTCCATCTTATCCTGGAAGTCTTTGGCTGTTTTGGGCACAAACATTAGGATGTGGGACTTGATGTCACCTCCAAAGATTTTTGGAGCAGTCTGTAGACGAGAAATAAGAATCTCAGAATCTATTGTTCCCTCCACAATATGGCAAAAATGCAATCAATTTTTCAATGAAAATATAAATAGGCCAACTGGGTCTGTATGCAACAGGTCAAACACACATTTGTAATGTCAGTATATACAACAAGAGACAAGTGTGGATAAAGTGTACCTGCTCTGTAAACTCAATGACCAAGGGAAGTTGGTTGGATTTGATGAAGGTCAGTAGATTTTCTTTGCTGATCTCTCCATCGAATGTACTGCGACCCTCATCAAACTGAAAAATAAACGAAAGATCGAGTCAGCGAGTGCGAGAGACCGAGAGAGTGAAAGAGATTACTTCATATTTAACTTTTTCTATATCCATAGAAACAAAATTCACTGTAACTGAGTGTTAACTAGGGAACTATGCATCACTCAAGCATAGAAACGTGACTGCAACAGTTGTTGGCCACAAGGCAGCGGATATTCTAGATTCGACACATACAGTGGGCATTAATAGCACACATAAAGAGAGCAGCTGCATTCTGGAATGAAATTCATTGTCCCTACTGCCTCAGAGTACGTGTCTGGGCGCCAAGACACAGCAACCCCAAAGCCTCTTTAGTGACCGGGGTCAATGAGAAGTTTAGTCCATTGTTGATTACACATTTAAAACACATCCTTCTGAAAGAATGAATTATTATAGGCCGATTTCTATAAAGAACGTAAATTTTGTCTTCATGGAAAAGACTTTACAGATTCAGGATTTTATATATTATTTTATTTTTTCCCCTGACCGTGGGAACCCTATGGATTTCTAATAAGATTAGAGAATTGGGCAGGGAGATGGAAGGCCAATCAGTGAATATTCAATCAGCAAATGGTTTTCACAGCAGAACTCATCTCAAAACACAGTTGCATTAAAATTCACCATGTCAGCAGCATGAAGATGTGGTGCCTGTGATCTGATCAAAGAGTAATGTGTCTGAATTACCACAAGACCTCTTGATCTTCGTGTGGAGCTCATCTAGCTCAGGTGTCCTATTGCTAATTATTGCACATACATTTTCAGAATGAATAACCACTGAATACTTTAAGATTAAGAAGTTTCTTATACTCATTAAGGCTGCATCTATTTGATCACAAATACAGTAAAAAAAAACAAAAAAGCAATATTGTGCAATATTACAATTTAAAATAACGGTTTTCTATTTTAACACATTTTAAAATATAATTTAAATTCCTGTGGTGGCTGAATTTTCATCAGCTATTACTACAGTCTTCAGTGTCACATGATCCTTCAGAAATCATTCTAATATGGCGTTTTATTATCAATGTTGGAAACAGTTGTGCTGCATGCATATATATATATATATATATAACATGACGGTTGGACAAAAGTTTTGCTGGCTTGGCTCTTTGACTGTTTAATAGAAGAAAGAAATTCATACATGTTTCCAACAACCTGAGAGTGAGTACATTTCAGTAGACTATTTCAACTGACAAGTTTCATTTTGTGAACAATCTCTTAAGTAAATTGACTGATGTGGTGCTCAACTCTTAAGGACCGTTCACACCAAGGAACGATAACTAAGATAACTATTAGGGCTGCACGATATATCGAAATCATCGGAATATCGCAAATGTATATATCGCAATATGCATATCGCAAGGGCGTGAGATATCTGAATCATTTTAATAATAGGCTACTTAAATCAAAACGTTGCAAAAGGTCAAAGTTTTAGTTCGACGCATATAGCAGAAAATTGTTGGACATTAAAAAGAGTTAAGTGCAATAAGTTGCAGAAAACAACTCTTTGCCATCTCGTCAGGCCCTTTCACACGGTACGCGGCAGTCGCGAGTGTCTAGTACATTCTCAATGGGAGACATGCGGAAAGCGGCAAAACACGGGCGGTTTCGCTGGCGGAGCGCAAGCGGTGCTCGTGCACCCAAAATCCTGCCGCTTCCACGGGCACGGCGCTTCGCGGCAGGTGCCGCCAAAGATAAAAATATTTTATCTTTTTGTGAGCGGCAGCGGCAGCCGCGTTGGTTTCAACCAATCAGTGAACATTTAACTGAACTGCCTATTGGAAAAATAGAGGAGACGATTGTTTTAAGTATAATAGATTTCCCAGAACTGTATGACCCATCTAAAATCACATACAGAGACATAAATAAAATTATATTTCATTCAATCGTAACCTCACAGGTATGCTCTTTAGGCAAATCAACAAAAACGAAAAAAAAAGGTAAATAATGACAACAATTAATGGCAGAATAACACAAACACAAATTGTAACTATGGCAACATCCGCTCCGCGACCACCGCCTCAACTGCACAAAACGCTTTCACTACAAGAGAAAGCGGCATCTGCCGCGAAGCGCCGTGCCCGTGGAAGCGGCAGGATTTTGGGGGCACGAGCACCGCTTGCGCTCCCCCACCG